ACACTTCAATATATATATATAATGCGTGAGTGTATCCCGTACGCTGGCTTGTTGGTTGGCATCCACGGTGTAAGATCCCTCAGGTCGGTGATTTAAATCCCCACTGGCATTGTTGGCCTTAAAGAGGTGGTGCTCGAATGTTTAGGCACATTAGGATTTATTTATTTATTTATTTATTTATTTGATTGTCATTTATTTCTTATTTGACATCTAAAATTTATGTTCGCATATTTAGCATTCAAATCTTTAATATCATATAAAAAATATTACTATCACTTACATTTTAAAAGCAAACTACATATTTTCTTCTCTTTTGGGGAAACATGAGGGCCACGTCCAATTATATTCATAGAGATAAAATAAAATATATAATATCCATACAGCACAACACAAAGAAGAAAAAAAAAAGCAAAACAACAAAGAATAACAAAAAACACAACGGTAGAAAAAGATTGTAAACAATTAACTAGAAGAGCTCAAGACAAAAGATTCACGAGTGCATCATCCACTTCTAGATACAACCTAAAGGCAGTGTATCTGAACAAAATATCTGAAGTCCAAATAACTTGCATCTGCAAAATCAATAAACAGTAGAAGAGAACAAAAAGAAACACCTAACAAAAAAAAAATAAAAACATAACAATAAAAGAAAGATTGGACAAAAGATATAAAGAAGATATAGAACATTGAAGACAAAGAAGACATTGAAAATATTAAAGACATTAAAGATGTTGAAGTTATTGAGCTCAGAACTTACTTGTAGAAATATTAAATTACCTTCCAAAATCTAATGAATTACAATATTTAATGGAACAATTGAATTTAATATATTGTTGAAAATTATCATTACTCAATAAAAAAAAGACCTCTAAGGAAAAACCAAGTATAAGTTTGTACTATTTCAGAAAAATAAACTATAATGTTCCAACAATCTTAACATCAATCAATAACAAAAAAAAAAGTCTTCAACACTACTGAGAATAAGAAACAAATGAGATACTCAGAGCCCAGAAGAAAGTTAGAGACAATCCAGAATAAGGAACATCAATGTACAAATGAGAGAATAGTGCCCATAACAAAGCTAGAACTGATTTAAACGAAGGAACATCAATTCCAATGTACAAAAATTAAGTTGATGCAAATGAAATAAACTCCAGCCATCTTGCAATCTCGATAGATACATACATATACATAGATACATGCATACATACATATAGATACATACATACATACATATAGATACATAGATATATATATATATATATATATATATATTAAAAAATCCCAAGGGCTAATATATTAATGAAAAAAGGATACATATAGGTTGTATGAATGGGCCCAAAAGCTGGCGCCCAACCTAAACGGTACAACACACACAAAATCCCAAAAAAAGAGAGTACATATAAGATCAAAAACCAAAACGATCAAGGCGTGAAAAAAGTTAGGGACAACCCAATTTAGTATTGTCTCTGCCTCTAGTTCTCGGAAGGGAGCCAACTAACAAATTGGTGAAGTGTGTACCATTACCCGAAGTAACCAAAAAAGTATCATCCATTATTCATCCATTATATTCCTGAGCTCAAGTAGGTCTTCATTTTTCTTCTTCTTCATGAATGTGTAAACTTGTCATTCCTCATTCGAAGATTGATCATTCGTATGAGGTAGTAAAACTGTAGTAGAATGATTGTCAACCGATGTAACCATAATAGGTTCTAGTGTATGTGAAGTATGAGTTGTCGCCTCTGCACCAGATACTTCTTAAAGATGGGGAGCCCCAAGGTTCTCTTGATTATCGGTATGAACACTATCCTTTGTAGGCAAGGATCCTTCAGTATTGTTTTCAATAAGGTTTGAAGGTGTAGCTTCCCAGCAGAGCCATCCGACAACACATCAATTGCAGAAGCAAAAACAATATTGGTAGGAAGGGGATCCACATGGGCAATTAAATCAGACCCCAACTCCTGTCTTGTGGTAATTTCCTCCACAAGTTGAGCAGTGGGATTAGACCCATCCTTATTCATTTGAGCTTTTGATTTCAAATTAGGATGGAGTCTGTGACATTTATCAAGGGTATGCCCAAACATCTTACAGTGGGCACAATAAAAATGTTTTTGTTCCATGACAATTTACTGTCAATATCTATTATGAGTTAATATCTATTATGAGTTGTGTAATATCTATTATGAGTTGTGTCCAACCAGACTTCAGTAATATTAGGTAAAGTAATATCTATTTCCATAAGTATTCTGGCCATAGAAGGCCTAGTTAGATTGAAGGATGGTAGATCTAGCTTCATAGGGTCCCCAAATATGGCCTTAGTAAAGTAGAGAACCTGATGATTAACAAAGTGCAGCTTGAGACCAGGTAGACTAAATCATACCGCAACAATGACAGATTCATGATTTGGTTCGAAATTAGGAGACCACTTAAGTAACTTCATTGACTTACTTGTAATACTAAGATCTTTTTTGGACAATATCTGAGCATAATTTTTAGCCATTGTTAACTGAATCAACACATGTCTTCCATCAAAGAATCTCACTTTCCACTTGTTTACTAGTTTGAGATCATCAAAACTTTTTCTGATAACTTTCATGGGTGGGTGCCCCCACAAAAATTTTCCAAAAAGAGCGAACTTGCATTTTTTAGTCTGGGTGAAATTTCTGAATCAGAGAAAAAGTGTGCTACTATCCCACATTTCTGACTTGCCTTCTTAACAAAAGGGCAATCATTTGTATCATCACGACAATCCTTATAGCTTGTGGGGAAGACAACTGCGGACTCCACCTGAAGTTTACCCACCACGCGGGTAAATGTGGTTTTGTTAGGTTCAACCGAAGAAGGAAGCGCCATCAGAGCAAAGAGATCTACCTGCTACGACGTCTCAATATAGTCACAGAAGCAGGGAGAGGCGAAGGTGCTGAGATCTGAAGCTGCCAGTGTCTTCTGCAACAAAACCCCGATAGAAACACGGAAGTTGTGAAAACTGTCGGTGACGAAACAGATGAAACAGACAAAAGCACAGAACGACGCAAACACGAACTAATGAAGCATAATATGTAAGGATAAGGAAGAGTAGAGACGACGAAACAGAGGCGATGAGGTGCGAGCCCTCGCCTTTGAACACGACTGAATCATAGACGACGAAAACCGTCATTCGAAACTCTAACAAAGACCCCTCAGGTCGGGGTTTGAATCCCCTCTGACACAGTTGGCCTTAAGCAGGTGGTACTTGAATTGTTAAGCACATTAGGGGTGGTTGGAGACTCGTATAATAGTCTCGAACCATTCCAGTTTAAAAAATTATATGTATATATGCATACATACATACATACATACATACATACATACATACATACATACATACATACATACATACATACATACATACATACATACATACATACATACATACATACATACATACATACATATATAGAGGGTCACGCCTAGTTATATTCATAAAGATAAAATAAAATATATAATATCCATACAACTCAACAAAGCCAGAAAAAAAAAACATAACAACCAAGAATAACAAAAAACACACAACAATAGAAAAAGATTGTAAATACTTAATTAGAAGAGCTGAAGATGAAAGATTCACGAGTGCATCATCCACTTCTAGATACAACCTAAAGGCAGTCTATCTGAACAAAATATCTGAAGACCAAATAAATTGCATCTGCAAAATCAATAAAAGTAGAAAAGAAAAAAAAAAAGAAACACCTAAAAAAAATAAATGAAAACAAAGCAATAAAAGAAAGATTGGACAAAAATTATAAAGAAGATTTAGAACATTGAAGACAAAGAAGACATTGAAAATATTGAAGACAACGAAGATGTTGAAGATATTGAGCTCAGAACGAACTTGCAGAAATATTAAATTACCTTCCAGAATCTAATGAATTACAATATTCAATGGAATAGTTTAATTTAATATATTGTTGAAAATTATCATTGCTCATTAAAAAAAATACCTCTCAAGAAAAATCTAGTATAAGACTGAACTACATCAGAAAAATAAACTATAATGCTTCAACAATCTTAACATCCATTAGTAAATAAAAAAAAGGAGTTCAAC